TGTGGTTGGATCGCTGAAAAAATATTCTTTAAAAAATCCACGCCTTGTGTGGTTGGATCGCTGAAAAAATATTCTTTAAAAAATCCACGCCTTGTGTGGTTGGATCGCTGAAAAAATATTCTTTAAAAAATCCACGCCTTGTGTGGTTGGATCGCTGAAAAAAAATTCTTTAAAAAATCCACGCCTTGTGTGGTTGGATCGCTGAAAAAAAAATCCACGCCTTGTGTGGTTGGATCGCTGAAAAAATATTCTTTAAAAAATCCACGCCTTGTGTGGTTGGATCGCTGAAAAAATATTCTTTAAAAAATCCACGCCTTGTGTGGTTGGATCGCTGAAAAAATATTCTTTAAAAAATCCACGCCTTGTGTGGTTGGATCGCTAAAAAAATATTCTTTAACAAATCCACGCCTTGTGTGGTTGGATCGCTGAAAAAATATTCTTTAAAAAATCCACGCCTTGTGTGGTTGGATCGCTGAAAAAATATTCTTTAAAAAATCCACGCCTTGTGTGGTTGGATCGCTGAAAAAATATTCTTTAAAAAATCCACGCCTTGTGTGGTTGCATCGCTGAAAAAATATTCTTTAAAAAATCCACGCCTTGTGTGGTTGGATCGCTGAAAAAATATTCTTTAAAAAATCCACGCCTTGTGTGGTTGGATCGCTGAAAAAATATTCTTTAAAAAATCCACGCCTTGTGTGGTTGGATCGCTGAAAAAATATTCTTTAAAAAATCCACGCCTTGTGTGGTTGGATCGCTGAAAAAATATTCTTTAAAAAATCCACGCCTTGTGTGGTTGGATCGCTGAAAAAAAATATTCTTTAAAAAATCCACGCCTTGTGTGGTTGGATCGCTGAAAAAATATTCTTTAAAAAATCCACGCCTTGTGTGGTTGGATCGCTGAAAAAATATTCTTTAAAAAATCCACGCCTTGTGTGGTTGGATCGCTGAAAAAAAAAATCCACGCCTTGTGTGGTTGGATCGCTGAAAAAATATTCTTTAAAAAATCCACGCCTTGTGTGGTTGGATCGCTGAAAAAATATTCTTTAAAAAATCCACGCCTTGTGTGGTTGGATCGCTGAAAAAATATTCTTTAAAAAATCCACGCCTTGTGTGGTTGGATCGCTGAAAAAATATTCTTTAAAAAATCCACGCCTTGTGTGGTTGGATCGCTGAAAAAATATTCTTTAAAAAATCCACGCCTTGTGTGGTTGGATCGCTGAAAAAAATATTCTTTAAAAAATCCACGCCTTGTGTGGTTGGATCGCTGAAAAAATATTCTTTAAAAAATCCACGCCTTGTGTGGTTGGATCGCTGAAAAAATATTCTTTAAAAAATCCACGCCTTGTGTGGTTGGATCGCTGAAAAAATATTCTTTAAAAAATCCACGCCCACCTTTATGTGGACAGTATAAAAAGTTCAACCTGAACTTATTTATAATTGGGGGTTTCCGTGTGTATATATTTTCACTTAGTCTTTAAGACATTCATTCAACCACTTTAACCACAAAATCTATAATAAAAAAATTATAACTAATGGGTTCATTAACTCAATAAAATCCACTTTAGTAAAGTTTTATATCTTGGACGTGATGGACTGGTTCTATATAACAGCCTTTATTTCTTTGCTGGCAAACCCCTTATGGGCTGCACAAAATTTTAAGGTGGTTTGCTTTTTTGATTCGGCAAGTAAGTGCGATAATTTTGAATTTATGAACTACAGAAAAATAATTTTATATTCCTCAAGATACCCTCAACCTGACCCTAAAGGATTTAGGCAATGCCATTGGCGATTGTAGCCATTTCATTTATGGCTATGCCACCTTGGTGCCATATTTCTTTCCAATCTCCTTTGATGGTACTGTCGGCCAAACTGTCTTATACTCTGATATTATCCAGTTGAAAAATCAATTTCCTCAAGTCAAATTCCTCTTGAGTGTGGGTGGAGATCGTGATCGCACGGATGGTGAAAAATATTTACATCTTCTTGAGACGACAATAGAAAATCAGCAGAATTTTATTAAGTCCATTGTGAAATTTGTGCAAGGCTATAAATTTGATGGTATCGATTTGGCTTATCAATTTCCCAAGGAGAGGAGTGAGCAGCAGCAGCAAAGACGTCGTGATGCCATAGTATTATGGAATGGAGTGCGGAATATTTTTAAAAGATCTGAAACGAAGCGACTGGAGGGTAGTAGATATAAGCAACCCTTTAGCAAGTTGATACAAAGTTTGGGTACAGAGCTGGCGGCCAATAACTTAATGTTAACGCTGAGTGTCTTGCCTAATGTCAATGCCAGTTGTGAGTATGCGACTCTCTCTCCCTCTCCCATATAATTTTCTCTCTCTCCTTTAGGGTACTTGGATATTCCCTCGATTGAACCACATTTGGATTTCATCAATTTGTGGGCATTTGATTTTGAAAATCCCAAAAGAAGTCCCCATAAAGCAGATTACTCAGCTCCCCTATGGTCACCACCTCCAGCTGGTAGTCGCCCAGCCTGGAACAATGCCAATGCCGTCGTGCAATATTGGAAATCACAAAATATTTCAAATGAGAAAATTATTCTAGGCATTCCGGTACATGGTGTGGGTTGGAAAATGTCCTCACAATCATGGGATAATAATGGAAATCCAATAGTTTACCATATGGAAGGTCCATCTAAGATGACCGATAAATTTGGGCACCTAAAATGGCCCGAATTTTGTAAGATGGTGCAAAATCAAACGATACATGTTCGAGGATCCTACGATTATGGTCGCTATTTTATTTATCCGAAAATTAAGGATCATCAGCATGACAGTTGGATTTCGTTTGATGGGCCAAATATTGCCCAGTATAAATCGCTATTTGCCAGGACTGAGAAAATTGGTGGAGTTGCGGCAATTGATATTAGTTCCGATGATTATCTGGGTAAATGTACTGGTCTGAAATTTCCAATTTTGAAATATTTGAGTCATACTTTAATAAATTGAATATAAAATAAATAAATATCTAAACATTTCTTACCAAAAAAGACGTGGATTTTTTAAAGAATATTTTTTCAGCGACCCAACTACAAAAGAAGTGGATTAAAAAAAATGGACCCACCCAAACAAGGAGTGGATTTTTTAAACAATATTTCTTCAGTGACCCAACGACACAAGACGTGTTTTTTTTTTAAGAATATCTTTCAGTGACCCAAACACGACCATCACAGCATTACGAGTGGATTTTTATAGAATATTGTTTAAAGGACCCAACCACACACGACCTTCAGAGCGTTAGGCGTGGATTTGTAAAGAATATTGTTTCACGGACCCAACCATACAGAACCTTCAGAGCTTTAGGCGTGGATTTTAAAGAATATTTTATCAATTTACTTCACAACTATAGGCGCGGATTTTTAAAGAAGGACCTCCACAGCTATTGGTGTGGGTTATTAAAGAATATTTTTTCGAAGAATCTTCATAGGCGCGGATTTTTAAAGAAGGACCTCTTATAGCTTTAGGTGTGGATTTTTGAAGGGTGTTTTTTCGAAGGATCTTCATAGGCGTGGATTTTTAAAGAATACTTTTTCAAAGGATCTTCATAGGCGCGAATTTTTAACGAATACTTTTTCGAAGGACCTTCATAGGCGTGGATTTTTAAAGAATATTTTTTTCAAGGATCTTCATAGGCGTGGATTTTTAAAGAATATTTTTTTCAAGGATCTTCATAGGCGTGGATTTTTAAAGAATATTTTTTTCAAGGATCTTCATAGGCGTGGATTTTTAAAGAATATTTTTTTCAAGGATCTTCATAGGCGTGGATTTATAAAGAATACTTTTTCGAAGGATCTTCATAGGCGTGGATTTTTAAGGAATACTTTTTCGAAGGATCTTCATAGGCGTGGATTTTTAAAGAATACCTTTTTGAAGGATCTTCATAGGAGTGGATTTTTAAAGAATACTTTTTCGAAGGATCTTCATAGGCGTGGACTTTTTCGAAGGATCTTCATAGGCGTGGATTTTTAAGGAATACTTTTTCGAAGGATCTTCATAGAGGTCGATTTTAAAGAATACTTTTTCGAAGGATCTTCATAGGCGTGGATTTTTAAAGAATACTTTTTCGAAGGATCTTCATAGGCGTGGATTTTTAAAGAATACTTTTTCGAAGGATCTTCATAGGCGTTTTTTAAAGAATACTTTTTCGAAGGATCTTCATAGGCGTGGATTTTTAAAGAATACTTTTTCGAAGGATCTTCATAGGCGTGGATTTTTAAAGAATACTTTTTCGAAGGATCTTCATAGGCGTGGATTTTTAAAGAATACTTTTTAAGGATCTTCATAGGCGTGGATATTTTTACTTTTTCGAAGGATCTTCATAGGCGTGGATTTTTTCGAAGGATTTTCATAGGCGTGGATTTTTAAAGAATACGAAGGATCTTCATAGGCGTGGATTTTTAAAGAATACTTTTTCGAAGGATCTATCATAGGAGTGAATTTTTAAAGAATAATTTTTCGAAGGATCTTCATAGGCGTGGATTTTTAAAGAATAAAGGATCTTCATAGGCGTGGATTTTTAAAGAATACTTTTTCGAACCTTCATAGGCGTGGATTTTTAAAGAATACTTTTTCGAAGGATCTTCATAGGCGTGGATTTTTAAAGAATACTTTTTCGAAGGATCTTCATAGGCGTGGATTTTTAAAGAATACTTTTTCGAAGGATCTTCATAGGCGTGGATTTTTAAAGAATACTTTTTCGAAGGATCTTCATAGGCGTGGATTTTTAAAGAATACTTTTTCGAAGGATCTTCATAGGCGTGGATTTTTAAAGAATACTTTTTCGAAGGATCTTCATAGGCGTGGATTTTTAAAGAATACTTTTCCGTCCGTCTGTCTACCAGGCTGGTGTTCACGATAACTCTCGAAGGAAGTAACCGATTTCATTCAAACTTTGCACATCGTAATATTTCTTCCATACTTAGTTTAAGTTCGAAGATGGAGAATATCGGTCGACTCCATCTGGTACATCCAACACCGAAAGTTTAAGAATGTGCTAAAAAAAATAATTTTATAATATCATGCGAACGGACTATTGTCTTTACCAAGCCTAGATCAAATTTGAAGATGGGATTCACTCGTCAACTCCTTGTCCTTCCCCTAAAAATGGTCAACATTTTCAATATCTTTTGGCCAACAATATTCTTCTCCGAATATCCAAACTGATGTCATTAATTTTATTTATGTGGTACCAAGGTATATAAAATCTTTAACTACATCGTACCAGTAGTTCTCAAGTTCGAGAGTAAGTCCGAGTCTACTGAATGTCTTGTGCGTTGATACCATCAGCTTGGTCTTCTCGCCATTTACAGTCAGGCCCTTTCAATTTGCTCAAAGGTGGATGTTACCGCTCGCAATGTTCGACCCATTATGTCGATGTCATCGGCGTAGGCGAGAGTTGTTGATATTGAGTTGCGGGATATTGAAAAGATCATACGACCAACTATCACATTTTCTGAATCCTCGTTTGGTATTGAGGATCCTTTCCGTCCTTTCCGACGTTAACTGCTGACCTTGCTGAATGCAGACATGACTTTAAACACCTCTGAACGGATAGTGCTGTCGAATGCGGCTTTATAGTCGATAAATAAGTGGAATGTGTCGATGTGTTTTTTCGTGGGCATTTTCCAGGATCTGGGGCAGAGTGGAAATCTGGTCAATGATGGATTTGACAGGCCTGAAGCCATATTGGTATGATTCAATGATGCTGTTGGCCATTGTACGCTGGATAGCACTTTATATGATATGGGAAGGAGACTTATACCTCTATAATTTTCACATATCGTCTTGTATCCTTTTTTGGTGCACGGAACACTTGTCTTGTATCATTTTTTGTGCACGGAACACTTGATGCTGAGGTTCCAATATGCCCAGTGATATATTCCTCTAGCCAAATTGTACTAATCAGCTGGTGCATGCTCTTGACCAGCATCTGACCACCAGTCTTGAATAGTTCGGCTGGTAACCCATCGGCTCCTGCTGCTTTATTGTTCTTGAGCCGATTAATTGCTTTTATGAGCACATCTGGCCAGGTGGTATACTCTATACCATCATCTCTTATTGGTTCTTTGGTATCTTCTTCAATGCCACTATTTGATACCAGAAGTTTTTCAAAATGCTCCTTCCAGATCCTCAGCACGCTGTCTGTATCTGTCACCAGGTTTCCTTCTTCATCTCTATAGGAGGATGTGCCTGCACCAAAACCTTCAGATTGGTGTTTTACTCGTTGGTAAAATTTCCGGAATTCATTCTGACTCCTGTACATCTCGATTTGCTCACGCTCACGTTTTTCTTGTTCTTTCTTTTTTTCTGAAAACACGTTTCTCCTATCTCCTTTTCTCCCGATAATTCTCCATCACGTTACGTGTTGCTACTGTATGCAGAGTTGCCATATACGCTGCGTTTTTCACATCAGTAGCATTACGACACTCCTGATCGTACCATGGGTTTCTTGGTGGTGGTTTTTGGTATCCAAGTGTTGCTTTTGCTGGAGTTTGTAGGGAGTGGGCAATTATTTGCCATTGTGCTTCTATACTATTATCGGAACAAGAAGTGATTTCTTCAAGCAGGTGCGTAAGTTGAGCGGAGTAGGCCTCGGCTACCTGTTGTGTTTGCAGCTTTTCGACGTCGAGTTTCCGTGGTGTGTTAGATCGCACCTTTGCTGCTACATTAAAATGGGTGCGTAGCTTGGCTGCCACAAGGTAATGATCCGAATCGATTCGAATTTTTAAAATAGGATCTTTGAATAAGGATCTTCTTAGATATAGGCGAGAATATTTCTATAACCGTGGATTTTTATATAAGGAACTTCACAGCTATAGGCGTGGATCTTTCAATAAAGCCCTTCGCAACTATAAGCGTGGATCTTTCAATAAAGACTTTCACAGCTATGGGATTGAATTATTATAAATGGACCTTCAAAGCTATAGACGCATATTTTGAAGGAAAATATAAACCGTATTCACAAAAGACCTGCAGAAGATCTGCAGCTAAATGAGACCTTCTGCAGGTCTGAGATCTTCGGCAAGATATTTAAATATTTGTCTAACAGGAGGTTATTTGTAAAATTTAAAGGTATCATGAATCTTAAATATACATTAAGTACTTTTGAAAGTTTGCTCACAAAACTTTTTGGTTAATCCTTAATTTATTAACTAGTTAGCATTAACCCGCAAAAGAAAATAAATCAATACATTTATCAATTGATTTCGCTAAATGTCTTTGAATCGCAAATACGATTTCATTTTGTTTTGGGAGTTCATTTGAAGATTTAATCTAATTTTAATGGATCGTTTAAAAGAAATACTATCTATGTCTGTATTATCAATGCATTGATGCACAAACATACGAACACCACAAAAATGTCCTGCCAAAGTAACGTGCGTTACCAGAAAATGTTTGTGCAGCATTTTTTGTGACCATCGATTGGCCACGATTTCAATTTATTTAAACGAAAATTCCCAAACCGAAATGCAATTTGGGCAGCCAACAGGCCAACAAAAAGTCAGGCAATCAGGAGGCACTAAAGACAATGGCATTCGAACGCAATCAGCAACACTTCATCTGTTGGTCGTCGATGTTGTTTTTTCTTCGGTTTTGCACACCATGGCCAACAACACGCTAGTAGTAAGGAGACATAATGAGCCTTTAAACAGCTAAAAACAAACAATAACAACTTATTTAAAAATATTCTTCATCAGCTAACCAAAACGTCTGATGGCTGCTTCTTCTGCAGAAGGCAAATAAGTTGCTGTGCGATAAAATGTACTCTCACCGTAATGTGCGCGGCACATAATCGTGTACGGTGGCGCACATATTTGTCATCACATGGTATTCACGTTTTACAAATGTACAGGGGTGGGAGATGTTTGGAACGGCAAGAGTTTACAAAAGGCGTGGATTTTTTAAAAATATTTTTTCAAGGCTCTACAA